CTCCCTCCCTCCCTCCCCCCCCCCCCCCCCTTATGTCGAAGCAGGGTGGACTCGGCGGTACGGACGCTCACCCAAGCGCTGAATATAAAACAGGTGTAGCTGCATTGTCATTTTTCAAAACGGAGGAGGCTTCATTTACAGGAATCCGGGAATGGTGACCCACTGCGGAGTCATGCGGTTTAGAGAAGCTCGTTTTAGCGAACGTCGTTTTACCGACCCCAGTTTATCGAATGCCTTTATAGAGAAACCAAGTTTAGAGAAAATGGCGATGAGCCTCCTTTTAGCGAATTCGGTCGCCGCGAAGCGGCGTGTGCGGATAAGTCTGGTGAGTTAACATTTTTGTAATGAGCCGCCGGAGACTGCCGCCGCGAAGCGGCGGGAGCGCAGCGGGGGGCTTGGGTTAACACGCGCACCAGTGATACACGCGCGAAGTAGAAAACCCTTTTTCCAATAGCGTCCCCTTTTCGATAAACGGCATTTCTCTAAACTGAGGCTCTGCTTTCTCTAAACTGTGCTTCGATAAAACGTGCCCGTTCTCTAAAACGTGCTTCGACGAAATGGCATTCTATCAACCGTAGTAAACCCGACTCACTGTACTACTGTCGTCGTAGTTGCGGTCCACCAACTCTAAAAGCTTCCTCAGAGCACACAACTCCCTCCGCTTTTTGAGCTACCACTGCATTACCAATGCGTCAGGGCCAGACAAACACAAGGATAGCTATATAATGTCATAAAAAATAAAACAGCAACACAAAAAAATAAAATGAAAAATCAGAGCAAACGTTTATGCACAAACACTTGGCAATATTCCAAGCCGCCATTAAAATGGCCGAGACAGCTGAAGTTGAAATTTACATGCCGCGAGTAACAAGTCGGCAACGTCACCGCTCTAACATTCCCGCTGGAAGCACGGAAGAGCATTTTTAAAGTTCCGTGCTCCTTCCTGTCATGGATTGCCTGATCACACAGATGGGAGATTTAAAAAGCACCGGCGTGTGTTGTAATTACTTTCGACGCTTCTGTCTGCAAAGATCTTGGAAAGCGGGGCAGGTCTCGGCGCTGAAGAGTTTGGAAGCTCTATTCAAGCCTGGTCTCAGTTCTTGAACTACTATGTGAGCTGCTCATAGGTGCTGCCAAATGCAAGAAGGAGAAACGTGAAACTCCAGTCACGTCTGCGCTACAAGCGGTCGCCCTGTGTCCGGAGGCCCTATTCCCAAACGTCCATCGTCTCCTGAAGATCCGCAACTCTGCCCGTAACAACGGCGGAAGCTGAGAACTCTTTCTCTTCACTACGTCGGTTGAAACTTATACCTGAGAGCGTCCACTTCGCATGGGCGACTACTCGGTCTAGCGCTTTTGGATGTTCACTGCGACATTGAAGTTATAACGGAAGACGTCCTGGATAGTCTCTCCCGTGAATGCAAGCGGCTGCATCTCAGTGTGTAGGCGCTTGGAATAAAGGAGATGATCAAGAGAGCCTGTAAATTGCTTTCTGAAATAACTAGTCACAGTTACTTGTTTTATTCGTGGTAATTTACAGCGTGCTAAAGAACACTACTACTTCAAGGTGTTCAAGGCAGCAGAGCTAGGGGTGTAGGGACGTCACGTGGAAGGAGTTAAACTCTGTTTAAAAAAGAAACCGTTCATCTATTTCAATTAATAAAATAGTGTGTAACGGTGTTGAACTAACTGGCTGTTCTTTGGCGAACGTTTTTAACGAGCATTTTGTGAATATTAGAAGCGGGATTGACTGTAAAGTCTTATTCTTTTTTGTTTGATTATAGAAACAGCCGCTCAATTTTTTTAGATCCTGTTGTAGAACCTTAGGTCATTAACGTGATTTTACAACTTAAGGGTAGTGTAGCTTGTGACGTTGATGGTTTACAAATAAAGCCTGTTAAGTATGTTGTATATATTAGCGGCAGTGCTAAAGCATACATTTAATGTTTCTTTGGTTACTGGTGTTTTTCCTAAACGAATGCAAATAGTAAAGTGTCAGTACTTCACAAAAAGGGTAATTACAGACCGATTTCTATATTGTGAGTATTTTCTAAAGCACTTCAAAAGGTACTTCACACACGTCTAACTAATTTTCACCTAAGCATAACTGCTTCGCAGTTTGGTTTTATAAAGCATAAATCTACAGAGGCTAGCCCTACTCGCCCAGAAAGAAATCATCTCGCAGAATCTCAAAGAAAAAAAAACTGTTCTTGGAGCATTCACAGACTTCACACTTTTGAATGCCTCAATCATGAAATTTTACTGACAAAATTGGATACATATATTGGATTCGAGGGCATGCTTTACAATTAGTGAAGTCTAACCTAGAGCATTGAATCCAATAAGCTTATATTGATGAATATTCGTCAAGTTCCAAGCGTATTCTTACTGGTGTTCCACAGGGAAGTATATATTAGGTCCTTTTTTTTTTAAATATTTACGTTAATGATATTGTGAATATTAACTCTGATGCAACATTTATCAGCTATGCCTACGGCACTATTTGCTTTTTTCAGCTGGAAATGTCGATGTGCTATTTGACATGGCTGATCAGGTGATATCTGCATTAGCAATTTGGAGTCATATTATTTCACTACAAATCAAGGTCGAAAAAACAAAAGCAGGGCTTTTTTGCCCAAAACATAAGCTAGTCACAATTTACAGGAGATATCGTTTTGAACTCCACCAAAATACAGATTGTAAACTCTTTCGAGCACTTAAGTGTAATTTTTACCGAGAATATGTCATTAAATAGTCATGTCAACTACCTTATTGCTAAGCTGTCACAAGTAGTAGGTGTGATAAACCGCCTCCGGTACATGTTACCAGCAAAGGTAAAATTATTAGTATACAATTCGTTATTTTACTCTCACATAAACTAGTATTGTAATTGAGTCTGGTGTACTACAACGTCAACGAATCTAAAAAAAATGCATTTGTTGCAAAAAAAAAAAAGCGTTAAAGGGCCCCTGAAAAGAAAAAAAAAGTTTTTTTTTAAAACAGTCTGGTTGGGACACGCGTGTCAAAAATGAATTTTACGCGAAAAAAAAATTTTTTTAGAGCATTATTGACGGCGAGAGATTTATTTGAAAATTTGCGCGCAAATTCCAGGTCATTCAGCTCGGCTTCTCATTGGTAACCATGGTCATTCAAATCGGCTTCTCATTGGCCAATAGAATGAGTGACAGCTTAGATGTTGGTTCTAAAATCTTCGTGATCTCTTGAAATCGCCTTTTGAATTACATATTTTTAGGTTTTAGAAACAATCCATCGAATGAATGTCGCAATTGTTTACAAACGTTTTACAAAATCGTAACTTCCGTTCGGATACTACAACAAAACAACAAACAAAAGCTTCGCCATTTTGTTTTCTGTCGTGGTCGCCGTCTTCGCGTTTCGCGTTCTGAAGAGGGCTTGTTGCTTGTGTTAGTTAGTCAGTCATAGTAAGTACTTAGGAAGTGGCGCGGGGTGACAAGTTTCTGTTTTTCTGCTCTTCTTTGCGCGATTCGTGTGTCCCGTTTACCTCATCTTTTGTTTGTTTTCTGACGCGCGCCAGTGACAATGTTTGTTTAGATGTCGGTTCCCGTGGTTCCCGTAAAGAGTTTAGTGAGGCACGCGGCACCGCACTCAACGTTTAACATAAAAAAAAAAAAAATCAGTTACCACTGCGTGTCCTCGCGACGGCTTGAAGGATCGTGCGGCTCGAACGAACTCGTCGAGGCACCCGCTTCACCGCGGCGAAGCGGGTGCCTCGCGAGCGGTTGTCTCGCGGCGATCGGAGCGGACGCCTTCCGGCTGGCGAGGCGTGACCTCGTACGGGCGAAGGCCCAGCTGCTGGCAGCGTTGAAGCAACCGACGCTTCAGGTCGGGGTCCACCGCGACGACTATGTACTGTGTGTACGACCACGGTGACCACGGTACGTGCACGATACGACGCGGTACGTCGTTCGACCGGCACACCAGTGTTGCCAACCTATTTTTTGAAAATACCCCACGCCAGCGTCCAGAAAACCCTATGTTACCCTACGAATATTTCTTATTACCCTACATTCTACCCTACGAGGCAAGTCTGTGTTCAAATAATGCTGTTGAATGGATTATGCTGATATAGGGTAGTATTAATACGGTACAAAACGACAGGGTACGCATGCACGCGCATACCTGGGTTATTTTAGAACACCATGCTTGCATGCGCGCTGTCAAAGCCGCCTGTATACTCTGTGCCTGTCAAAAGCGCGCCTCGAGGCCGTCGTGTTTCCCCCTTTCCCTCACTCATCCCCTCCTCTCCTATCGCCCGTGTCAGCCGCGAGACGGCGTCACGCACGTTGGGGATCGGCCGGTCGGCGTCGTTCGGCTGTTCGGCAGCGGTGTACGTGAGCTGATGTGAGCGAAGCCGCCTGTATACGAGGCCACTGTGGGTGAGGCTGCGTGTTGCGTCAGGTTCTTCCCGTCGGAAAGTTTCGTGGTCACGCCTCGAAAAACTTTTCTCTGTCTGATGCCCGTTCTACGTTTCCTCAGAGGTAAGCCAAAGCCCTCCTATTCCGTCGGTTCCGCTCCGTTGAGTGCTTCCACGTGTTGATCGCGGCTTTGTCGTAGCACCGCGTGTGTCACGTAAAGCGCAAGACGTGTTTTTCAATTGTAGTGCCCTAGCGCTGGTATAGTGATTGCGTGTAACGGCCGATCGCGCAGGTTCAGGCAGTGCGCTCGCACCGGACATTGACATGTGCGCGGGCATGTTTAAGACATTGAGCTCGCAATTGAAGCTTCTGCTGCTCGCATTTAAACTGAACTGGGGTTTTGTACGAACAACAGGGAAGTCTGCTCGTGTACGGATAATTGCAACAAAATTATGAGTACACTATTTTTCCTCCGCTTCGTTCGCGTGTGCACTTACGAGCCCTTTTAGGGTACAAAACATCTGGTACTTCACGTACGTCGTTGTAATGTATTAAAACGTACGAACTTCCAGGTAACCCGCATTTCTATCCTTCCAGGACAACATGGCATACTGCTGTGTGCCCCATTGCTGCTCTGACTCCAAAAAGAAACTCGAGGGGGTGTCATTTCACGAAATTCCGGCAGACTTGGAGTTGAGAGAGGCGTGGATCAAAGTCATCCGGCGTGATAAATGGACACCCTGCACAACAAGCAACTACAGCAGAGTATGCAGCCAGCACTTCAAAGAAGCAGACTTTCTGGAAGGAAAACGGCGGCGCCTAAGGAAAGGAGTGGTTCCCTCGGTGTTCCAGCACTACCCCTTGCACCTGCAGCCGAGAAATGAAACGCCAAGAAGCAATGCAAGCATTAGGAAGAGGTCACTCTCCAGCGATGCCCAAAAAGACGGCCTTCCAAGAAAGATGCGTAACCAGACGCGAAATGAAACTGCACCAACACCTAGCAGCTCTGCTCTACATGAAACAGGGAACAAGTCAACACTCCAAAGTACAGCTGACTTAACTGATCATGGATTAGTGAAGAACACGGTGCCTTTGCGTGCACTGGCACTAGGCAGCCCTACTGCAAGTGAAACAGAGGACAAGTTGGCTCCCCCACATACAGCTGACCTCCCTAGGCAGTGGTCACCAAGAAATGCAGAGCCTTTATATTCATCAACACAAGGCTGTCCTACTGGAGTCGAGACCGAGGACGAGTCAACTTCACTGGGTACAACTGACTTTACGGAGAATAGATCCCCACCTAACCTTGAAGAGGCAACCATGTCAGAGGATCAAGTCACACAGCCTGAGGTTACCGTGACTGCAGTTACTGAGAAAGCAACACAGGTGGATGTCAGGGCGTCAAACAGCTTGTTAATCATGGAAAGGTCAAAATGGAAAAGGAAGGAGCGAGACCTGAAACAACAGATTGAAAGACTGCGAAAGACGGTGGATGGCTACAAAGAAGAGCTGCAAAAGCTTCGGGACGACTGCCATGTTGCAGATCTCGAATACATCAGAGAACGCTGCGACGAAAAGAACCAGCCCGCAATGTTTCTCCTTGAACAGATTGCAAACTTTAAGCGTAAGAAACCAAGTTGGTCTGAGGACACCATTCGCCATTCTATTGTGCTGAGACACCTGTCCACGAAGCTGTATGAACATATGCGACACGAAGAACTGCTAAAGCTGCCAAGCAGAAACACTTTGCAGAATTACCTTGGTACTGTGAACGGGGAGACTGGATTCAACAGCCTGGTTGAAGCACGACTGAAAACAGAGATTGAGCATCTTCCAGCACCTCAGTCGAAGACCTGCTCCGTAATTGTTGACGAAATGCGCATCCAACAGAAGCTTCAGTACAACAAGCAACAAGACGCATTCGTCGGTCATACTGACATGGGCCTGGCTGAAGAGGCAGACACTGAACCAGTACTTGCAAATTCGTTGCTCTGCTTTGTCATCAATGGACTTGCTTCTTCATGTCGTATTCCAGTAGCATACTACTTCACCAATGGTTTGAACGGAAGCCAACTGTCAAAACTGCTGGTTTTTGTCATGACGAAAGTGGAATCAACTGGATTCAGGGTCATACGTGTCGTGACTGATAATCATAAGGTTAATGTCAGTGCTATGAAGATCCTGTGCGGTGGCGTCCTCACATACAGGATAGAACACCCATGTGACCCGCAAAGGCTACTCTTCTTGAGCTTCGATTATTGTCATGTAGTGAAGAACCTCAGGTCCCAGTTCTTAGCCCGTAGCATTGGGAAAGATGGGAAGGTTTCCTCTTCCCATCTAAAAAAACTCTACGAGTTGCAGAAGAAGTGGCTGGTGAAGCCTGTGAGATTCCTCAGCCGTAAGCACGTCTATCCCAACAACATAGAGAAAATGAATGTGCGAAGGGCAGTTGAAGTACTCTCTCCTGACGTAACATCTGCACTGAGTTACATGAAAAACCAAGCAGGACACTGCTCTGATGCATCGTTCGCCAGTGCTGGGCCATCAATACAGTTCATGGAGAACGTCTACCGCTGGTTTACTCTACATGACACAAGCAACAAGACACAGCACATTCATCAGAACTTCCCGGACACGAGGCACTATGACGACCCTGAAGATTCTCGCCTTGAGTGGTTGGAGACAACTTTCCCGTTGTACCTGGAGGACCTCAAGAATGGAGCAAGCCATCCGCAGCAGTTTCTTACCAAAGAAACTCATGAGGCTCTATTGTTGACCACATATTCTACTGTGGCGTGCATTCGACATCTCTTGACCGAAGAGAAGTTCTTCTTTGTTCTCACGAGGAAGTTCAGCAGTGACCCTGTTGAGTCACTCTTCGGGACACTACGACGAGCGGTAGGATGCAACGACCAGCTGGACGTCCGATCAACGCTTTGTGGATTAGAGAAAATATTGAAAACGGGAATTGCAGCAGTGTCACAGGAAAGTAATGTGGCACACAGGGATGGCCCCACTCAGCTGCACACACTTCAAGCTGTACAGCCACAACCAGCCAAAGAGCCACTGCAGCTCTCGAGAGATGCCACTTTTGTGCTGGGGCGACTCAGGATATCTAAAGTGCGTCAGCGTCTGCCTACTCTCCAGCTGTCGGCAACAGTTTATGTCGGGGGGTATATAGCGCGCATAGTTGCCGAGAAAATGGCCTGTGAGAACTGCTGCGCCATCACCACGAAGCCAATGAGCAATCAACCCGTGCAGCAACTTACTCGATACCAGGACCGTGGTGGGTTAATGTATCCCTCTGACGACCTCATGCATGTGCTCGACGCATTGAGAGAGTTTGTAGAAATTGTCTTGAAGGACAACCCCAAGCTACCCAAGCCCATGAAAACGCTTCTGAGCTACACCGTGCCAGCTCTGTGCTCATCTCCGCTGCTTAGGTGCCAAGCTGATGGCGAAGGTGAGCACCGCAAGCAGTTTGCAGAGCTCGTCTGTACGAGGTTCATCCGTCCCCTGCTCGTGAACTACGCATTCCTGCAAACTGACAAGCATGATGTTTATAAGGGATTTGGCAAGAAGCCACTCTCCCGAAAATATGTGAAGCTGTGAGAGCAGCTACTTTGAAGTGTTTCACACATTGAAAACAGTGCTCGAGACGATAAAAATAAACATTGCATTTTGATTTATCAACTATTGGACTCAAATATACATGGTACGTCTCCTCATACCCATAAAGCAATTGAGGGATAAGTATAGCATTTTGAAATATTCCAGCTTCCGATTCATACACGTCTGTCCTAAGTATTCAAAGAAAACCAAAAAGAAAATGCTAGAAGGCACATGCAGAACTACATTTGTTTTATACTTTACTTTAATCAATTCACTTGTGTGATGTGCACATAGTTTAAAGAACCACTGCGGTCATGCGCACTGCTTGAACTTCGTGATCTTGGTGCGCGAAAATTCCGAAAATAACCTGTCATGCATGGTTAGCACTTTTAATACTTGTTGAGACAAACTCAAGTATTAAAAGTGCTATCGTAAGGGCCTGCATGCTTTCACTTTTTAACTTCAAATTCGATTGCTCGACGGCACCCGAAGATAGCGGCACGCCTCAACTTCGTTCCGTTCAGGTTTATTTTTGCGGTTGTAAAACCGCAGAGGGCTTACACAAGAGCCTTGCTCAGAACTAAACGGAAAGAACCCGGCTAGAAAGGATGCCGTGCTAAATTACCCAAGCTTCTATACTTCGTCTCACCCTAGCATTGACTAACCGCGAAGGCTGTGCTAGCGCGAGCGGCCAGCCTTGACTGCCTTGACTAGAGCACTTGCTGCACGAGCGCTCGTGCAGCGCCGTGGCTTATTTCAAAGCGACTAGCTCGCGCTTTTACTACGCGCGGCTAACAATAGTCCATACTGAGGTGAGACGAAGTATAGGTGTATGCGGGGACTGTGTACGCGCGCAGCACATGCTGGCTTCAGCAGCAGTAATTTGTTACAGAAAAGGTCTAGATGAAATAGAACGTTTCACGCGCGGTCGTTGGCATCTTATTTTTTTATTATTATTTACTTCGAATCTTTCCTACACGCAAGGCGAGCGCGTGCGGATCGTGTAGCTATACTCACCGTGTGCCTGAGGGAGCTAAAACCCGTGTTCTAAACGTTTTGGCATGGCTTGCAAGCGCTTCTAATCGCGTTGCGTCTATCGCGTCGTCTGCTACGGCAGCAACGTTGGTGGCGCCCCCACGATGGGGAGCGGCGGCAGCGCGCGACTTTTCCGACGGTGCCCGCTATTGTTCTCCCCTCCGTCTGCCAGGCACAGAGTATACAGGCGGCTTTGGCGCTGTGTAGCATCAGCACAACAGTGTTGCTCCGAGCGCACAGACATCCCCAACCAACATGTTTAGCTGATTTGACATCAAATTTAAAACTGGGCTGCGTGGGACCAGCATTCGCGGCGACAGACAAGGCGGCTCATTACACAAGGAAGCTAATCGGAACGGTATATTAGCTTATTCTTTGGGTGAGCCGCCTAGGGATTCGTCAAACTAAGGTAATATTTCGACAAACTAGGCTATTACACCGGGGGGAGGATAGGAAACCGGCGGCTCTTTCGTATTCGCTAAAGTGTCATTCGATGAAACGTGATGGTTTCGACTTTGTTCGCTAAAACGTCGTTCACTCAAGTGAACGCCTCCAGTCCCAACTACTTGCGCAGTCGGTTGACAGTCTTCAAACTCCCTACCGACTGCACAACGTGCCAGGAAGCTCCGCGGGAGTTTGAAATCGGTTTCCGTACTCGTCGATCATCCGTGATCAGCGCTCTATGGGCGTGGTAAGGAGAGTTAATCGCAATGCGCCATAACAAAAAAAAAAAGCTCCCAGCACGAGTGGTAGTTCCCGCTATGGTTATTTGCAGCATGCGCACCGCACGCCAGCGCCTAGAAAAGTCCAGTTGAACAGGTGGCTGCCGGTTCTGGTGGGCTCGGCCTGGTTCCGCCCGCGGTGCCACGTGTTTCGCAGGTGTAACGAAGGCCGCCGGATGGACCAGAGTCATCAGAAAAAAAATTGGCGGGAACATTTCCACTGGGAAGATACCTCTTCTGGCTCCAAACTCCATATGCGCAACTACTCCTCCTCCCGCCTCCCCTCCCACTTGCTCCAGCTTTCCAAAACTCTCCAGAAAAAACATCGAGGGACTTTAATCCAGCTTTTCGTGTGGTGCACTCTGTTAGCACGTCTTGTAACTTGGATACTTTCGTTTTGCATGATGTCGTGGTGTGGCAGCACACGCGTTGTAAAGTTATGCAAAGCTTGCACATCAGCTTTTTCTTAATTTTTTGTATTATGCTTGCCCTTGAAGAAGCAACGTCTGAAAATACCCTACTTTTGGCAGGGAAATGGCCGGACGGCCCTACAACCCTACAATGTACCAAAATGCCTAAAATACCCTACAAGTAGCGTAATTACCCTACGGTTGGCAACACTGCGGCACACAGCCGACCGGCGACTAGAGAAAACTTCGGCGCGCACTTTATTGGATGAAATTTGGTGACGTCACGACCAATAGGAGCACGGAAACAGACGCGGTCTCCTCAAACGAGCGATTCGGAGGAGGAATAATGGCAGGTCACGTGACCCGACGTCACCGGAAGTGACGTCACAAATATAACGTCACGTGACAAAAAAATTTTGTTTTGCTTGTTTTTGTTTGTTTTGTTTTCTGTGACGTCACGGTTTTTAGCGAGGAAACTTTTTGTTATTTTTACTTTGTTGACGTATTACTTTTTTTTTGTGTTTATTTTCTTGCTTTTTGCAACCGGGTAACCGCGTTTTCTGCGCTACAGACTGCGTTTTTCTGACTCCTTTGTTTGATATCGTGTCGTATCGTCGTATTTATGTAGTTATTAGGAACGGCAAGCCTACGTTGTTGCGTCCTTTACCTGAATATCGTGACCGAATCGAGTGTCGTCGATTTGAATCGTGTCTTGCGAACCATCGTCGAACAAAAGGTGAGTGGTTTACGTTTTCCTGTGATGTGATTTCGATGTGTTCGTTCCACGCGTCCGAGCTGCTTCTTCGTTTCAAATACATTTGGCGCCGCTGCCTATTGTTTGAGCCTGTGCTCACGATTAAAACACGCATCGCAGAAAGCTGAAAGCCCGCCAAAAGAGCTCTAAAAACCGCATGCCTCCGACCCCAGACCTGCCGGCAGACTTCCGAGATAAGCCTGATTAAACAAAAACGTTTGATCCGACGGAATAATGTGTTTAATATTACATCCCATGTCAACAAGGAACTGCGCTGTCTGTCTTCGCCCCTACAGGTTTTATTCTTCCGGGTTTTTCAAATCTTTACCAACCCGCGTCCGATCGTAATACCCCGATCACAACAAATAGTTGGTCGTGCTCCGATGGCTCCTAACATCAGCCGGCAAGGAAGTTACGTTTTTCGCTTCTATATTTTGACCCAAGTAACCTCATATTCTCAAACTATGTCATTCTATCACCACCTCCAGTTGCACATTCTGGCGCACTTGCAGCTTCGTGCACCCTTGCGAGGTTTCCTGCTATCGTACCCTGGATATCATGGATTTCTCGCCGTACGCGAGTGCTCACGGAGGCGTGCTATACACTCTGTATCATAAGTTGTGTGCAGCAAAGGCGCAGGCCCGAGCACATGACAATAAAAAGCGCCTTTTTTGCACGAGTACCCGCGCAAAAAGAACATTCTGCAGAGCTGCGCCCTCGCACCCGTGCGTTCGCTGCACACAACTTATGAGACAGTATAATAACCGAGCCGTTTTTGTTTCTTTTGCACATTACTGTGAAAGAAGTGTCATTGCTGTTTTCTTCTCAAAGAAAACTCGGAGACGTTAGACAAAAGCAAACAGATAGGAGACTGCACATTCACACGTTTTTCCCCCTTGTGCTACAGGTCATGGCTGGTCGCGGTTCATCAGCGTTTGTTTTGAAACTGATGGGTGCCACAAGGCATGAAAGAGGTGACTTGCAGCAGCAAGACACCGCAAGCCTTCGCAGCAACTGGCTAGCCAGTGCTGCTCTGTTCTGAACTGTACTGCGTGTCATGTGGAGGGTTTGTGCAAGCTCTCTGGGCGGCGACGCTAGCCACGGTAAGTGCATTCTATGCAGCTTTCTTTTAGGGATATATGTGGCTCGCAGGCCATGTCGTGCCAGCAAAATATGTGCCACCCGAGTGACAGCAGTGCTAGTGGCAAGGCTGCGCTGACAGTAATCAACGCTGCACTGTGTTTGCATTCTATAACTAGTGACAAGGAACCAAATACTCCTGAGAGAGTCTCGGTTGTGCTTTGATGAACTCCAGCTCGCTTATGAACAGGTGGATGGCACAGATGGCTTTTCCTGATGGACTTGGTGTCCGTGTTAACAATGCAACCAGACTTTCTTTCAGTTTGTGACGTTTTTTCGTTGCGGGTGACTAGCATTGCAGTAGAAAAAGATGCAAAATAGTATAATGTTTGCATTCGTTACCTAAATTAATGGCAAGAACAACTGACCTACATTTCCGCCGACTGCATTTCTCTGAGGAATCGCCTGGACTAAAAAGCTCGCTACACTATGTCGTTCCCTCTTAGCCTGTACAACTCTGCGTCTTCCCTCGATTGTCTTATGTGGCTGCTTCTGTGTCTGCCTAGGCACTCGGTTGAAATGGGAAAAGCTGTCTGCGTTGCACATAACCGCCATAAGAGCCAGCGTGGGCGTAGCTGGGGTAGCCCCCGCTATGGCTTCTCCAGCTCGACACAAGTAACATTCCTACCGCTGTCGTGTTAGCAGAAAACGGACCTGCTTAAAACGTACAGTGCACGTAGTACACAATGGAGAGGTTGCTCGCCAATCATTTTCTTGGAAGTGTGAGTTGAGCCCCTTTGAGGCAGTTTGCTTCCGCACCGTGCACTATAATCCGTCCGAGAAAACAAGATGAATAACCAGTAGGATTTCTTTGTTCCAAGGCTTCTTGACGCAGAAAAAGACTAGGGAACCAGTATTGTTGCTTTTTACTACCCCGTGCGAGACTCAAACCCGACATGCAAGGAAGTGGAAAGGCCTCTTCCTTTCTGCTTTCTTGTG